ATTATTATTATTAGCATTGTTATTGTTGTTGCTGTTGTTATGATAATGATAATGAAAATAATATTTATTATTATTATGACTGCTACTGCTATAGTACTATTATTATTGTTACCATTATCATTTTTATTAATATTATTATTATTATAATTATTATTATTATTATCATCAATATTGGTATTACTATTTCTTCTTCTTCTACTACTACTACTATTATTATCATTATCATTATTACTATTCTTAGTAATAGTATTAGTATTTTTGGTTGTTGCTGTTGTTCTCATTATTGTCATTATCATCACTACCACTTTTATTATCATTATTACTTCCGCTAAGGAGATTATTTTTTTGGAAGCGTTGGTTAGTTTGCTTGTTCGTTGGTTAGGAGGATAATTTGAAAAGTTATGAACAGGATTTTATTTTATTTTTTACCAGAGGTGTGCTTTAGCCCAATTTAGATGCCATTCAATTTTGGTAGTGATCCGGATCATGATCCGGATCCAGGGATTTTTAAAGGATGCATTAGCATTGTGAAACAGGGAAACACGGATGTCACCAGTGTACCTGAGAAAGGTGATTTTAATGTAATTCTTCGAGTTAATATTTTTATTGCATCAGTGTCTCTATTGCCTTGGCGGAGGTATGCGCTATCTGAGTGCTTCTAGTTGTTTTTGTAATAATCATTATTTCCTGAGAAGCATCCCTTATAGTATGACTATTATTACCATCACCATCACAATTCATTTCTTTATTCCAACGACAACAGACCTGCCCACTAATGCCCCGCGGTGCCCTTCTTCCTCCTGACAGAGAGCGTGACACATCGCCTGCAGCGCGTCCTCCTGGTGGTCGAGCCTGACGAGCCTGTGGACGTCCCCCTCCTCCCCGCTGGCGACGCTCAGACATAAGGGAGAGGGAGGGAGGGAGGGTGGGTAGGAAGACAGGGTGGGTGGTTGGAAGAGAGGGTGGGTGGTTGGAGAAGGAAGGAGTGTGGAAGGGAAGAAGGGTGTGTGGATGGGGCTTGGGTGAGAAGGAGGGTGGATGGGAGGGAGGAAGGAAGGGGAAAAATGCGAACAAATGGAGTTGCATCGAGAGGAATCTAAAAAGACAAATATATATTTGATGTTGTCCCATGTGTACGTTTACAGCAGCTGATTGTACGCAATGCTTTCCATGGCCTCATGTATATAAATGTATATATATATATATATATATATATATATATATATATATATATATATATATATATATATATATATATATATATATATATATATATATATATATATATATATATATATATATATATATATATATATATATATATGCATACATACATGCATGATAAATGATAATAGACAAGACCTCTATAGATATATTACCCAGTGTTGTCTGTGGTCCTTGTAAACACCTTCTCAGGACATGTAGAGAGCTAAAGTGCTATTTAATTTACAATTACCTTAAAAAAAATCAAGGAAGTTCAAAGAAAACAAGTCCCATTAAAAAAAAAATTATATTACTACAAGACGACCAAAAAGATTCTGAATCTACACCTTTTGTAGTGACTTATTTTGATGAATATTATTAAACGTCTCTAGATCTTCATTCTCGCATCTATCTGAAAGAAGAACAATGTAAACATGAACCTAAAGAGTCTTTGAAATCAAACTGGTGTCTACATCTCCTGAATAATGTATCCAAGTTTCCGTTAAACGTTGTGAACAAGATCTGTCGTTATAGAGTCGTTTCTCGTCGTCTTTCCCTCATAGAGAAATCACAATTTTGGATCCAATCTAGACGCTACATTTTGCCGGCGAATAACCTGCAGTCGTTGGAGAAAAGGGGGAATGAAAATAAGGGAAAGAGTTGAAGGTATAACCTAGAAATTGTAGGAAAAGATTCTATGTAACATATTTTTGGAATTCTTTTAATGTGATGTATTACCAAGAAACTACCATTGAGAATTAAATACCAACGACCATGGTAGGTGTGCATGCGCCTTGGTGTAGAGTATTTATTTGTTACAGGTGGAAGCGTTTAACAACTATGTCTGTAACCATCTTTGTCTCTGTGCGTTTATATATGTATAAGTGACTATGTAAACACACACACAAGTGCTTAAAACAACTATAATGAAACACAATCATTTGGTATGTAGTGTACTTTGGTAAGATTAATTTTATTTTCGAAAAAATCAGGGTTTTAAGAGAAACAGTCTTCTGTTCACGAAAATATATTATTTTTGTTACCTTAGATCTAAGATAACAAAATAATCTAAAAGTTCGTAATGCAAAAATAGATTACCTATATTTTAAGTAAATTGTTGTAATCACAATCTTTGTATACCTTTCCTAAGAAAATATATGATATTTTATACACTTTGTTATGATGATTGACATTAAAAAGAATATTTAGCAAGGAAATCAAAATCTGGTGAAAATAACCATCAATTTCGTACAATTTCGATCTCAGAAATTGTGTACTTAATGTGACGGCAGCAAAATGGATGAACAAAATAAGAACTGATATGAAAAATATGAACGTATTTTGTTATTGCTGTTATTGTTATGACGTTCAAAATTAGGCAATTCCAGTTCAGACACCAAATTTCTTCTCGTCTTTTGCCTATGTCTTAATTTCATTCTTTTTCCATACCTATTCCTGCTAAGGGAAGATGTGTTAATCTAAAACTGAACTGTATTTTCCCTAATGAATTACTTTTTTCTCATGTTGATAATGCATTTAAGGGAGGACTAGTATGATAATCTATGTATATTTTTAATCGATGGGATTTTATAAATCGATCAAATATGGACTCGAGTTTCATTCAGATTTTTTTTTTTTATTGTGACCTACTATTAATTAAATGGTAACTGATGAACTAATATCTAAGACGATATTGATATTAAGGGAACCATTTTGGCATTTTTTCTAGCATGTAAAATATGTTACTTTTCAACATATTTTGTTATTTTCAACTAAAAAAAAAATATATGCATCCGTGTATTGTATCAATAAAAAGAATCCTGAGACTATTTTTTTATTATTATTATCCTCATAATTGCATGTATTTGTGCATGCGTATGTGCTATAACAAGTACTTTTATCTAAATGTTTATAGAGCACTCCCTTAGACCTAGATTTCTTCGGATCTGGAATCACTAAAAATTCTGAGGCTAAAATACATATGTCTTCCTGTAGCCTCACTGAACGCGATGCGATGTGAGGCGAAGCGAGGATAGCAATCTACTGCGAAATTGCGCGGGAAAAACCAACAGCAAGCGAGCGCGGGAGTTGCCATGGTAACCATGGTTAGACTGTGTCTGACAAGACACAAGGCACGCCTTTAAGTATTATCATAATCATGGACAATAAATGTAATTATAATAAATGCATGACATACATTCATCTGAAATAAATATAAATATAATCATTTATGACGAATATAGATATAATTACTCATAATAGATTAACCAATAATTGTCGATGAAAAATTGTAAATAGGATTTACATGATAAATGTAAGCATGATGATTCATGGTAAACATGAACATGATAATTTGATTACAATTATCTATCATAACCCTGTTTTCAATATAAACGCAATTATCTATGATAAATATAATTATTTTGAGGCAATTGAGAACCATAAATAAGACATAAACAAGTAAAGAATTTTATAGAAGGGATATGCTCTATCTCTATGCAGCCTATATGCGGCATCCCAAATGCATGGGATTTGAAAAAAAAAAAAAAAAAAAAAAAAATATTGGGCCTCTCGACATCCATTCCTTATAGCGTACTTCACTCGAGTAAAGTTATCTGTCCATTAGGAGCATTTATGCATAATATTCAGAGATTTAAGATGCCCACTTATAGTTTCCAGGGTATACTATTTAATGAAGCAAATTAGACAGTTTTTCTAAGATTGTTTAAAATGCATTCAATGTTGACAGTTTCCACGGTCGAATCCGCCATGTGGAATCTTGCTTATGGTTTTGAATGCATTATGGATTTGCATCTGAACTTTACCTGCAGTACTGCCTGGTACTGTTATTCAAAGCTAACTTCACTAGTCTTTTGTTTTAATTGCATTTGGTGGTGTCCTATCCTGACCGACCATATTGTCAGAAATGGCGTTTTAGCCACCCTGCTAATCACTGTCGCTCCACAGTCCGCTGCCTTCTATTTGCCCAATTTAGTCATGGCAGTTCAAATTGCCCAGCACAATCACGCGCGTGTCTATTGTGGTGGCTCCCATAATGTACTTTATAGAAACTACCCTGCCTACCAACTCGAGCCCGAGGTAGCAGTTCTCCGATTCACACTAGGTCTCACTCTACGCGAGGCCAGACAGGATTCACGTTTTTCTTTCTCTACCCATCCTAAATCGCTAGAAAATGTTCCATCCAAATCTACCACATCCTCTCCTATACCTAACTGTTCCTATGCTCCTCGTACATCGGTCTCATTTTTTCCTCCTCACAAAAAAAAAAACGTTTCTCAGACCTCTCCATCTAACTCCCTCTAGAAACATTTGAGGACATCTAAAAGTTCATAAGCATGGCCCAAGAAAACGTTCCTTTCTTTCATCCACCCTTCAATCTCACAACTCCCATTTTCTTTACATTCAAAGTAATTGCCGATATCCATCCTTTTCATCAGCCAACCCCTATTCCTCCTACTCTCTCCCAGCACACCTGTTCCTCCCTTTCTCCATGTACACCATGCACACCACCCACTCTTCTTTCCTTATTATCCTTATTACTCCTACCTGAATGCTCCGGATCCTCCCCCTCCTGACGTTCCTGATACTTCACCTCCTTCCCTTGTTCCCTTTTCTAATTCCCAGGAATCTTCAACTTCTCTAACACTAATTTCAACCCTTATTACCTGCTAACTGCTTCATGATGACTCTTTTGCGGTATTTCTCATACAACGCTCCTCTTCCTTCCTTAGACACACAGATAATATGCATTTGATCTCATCAACCTGCACACTTATCCCTTTTTACTCTTTACAAATCCCTGCCTTAGTCCATTTGCTCACACACTTTACCCTTTTCACTACCATACTATCCTGTAGTGCTCTACAACTGTTGATGAATAAGAAATCTTGTCCTAATTATCAATTCAGTGGATAAACTAACTAGATATAATATGGAGTCTGCTCACTGCAAAGTCTATTATCATCTTGTTACAGCATAACACATTACTACAAATATAGACCTCAGAAAATGGCAATGCTACAAAAATGCATCTGCAAAAATGGGCTGATAATATTGCAAAGATGAGGCAAGGAGTCTTGTAACAAGCCTGAGTGTTTGTGTGGGCTGAGTCTACAAGCCACATACACGGGAGTCACTTTCTTTCTGCTTCTCCTCCCATTCAAAATATAGAACTCTAAAACACTCCACCAGTATAAACTCCATGGGGGAAGGGTATTGACTGTGGAAGGTATTGGCAATATTGGTTATATTGACTTACACTGGCCCCTAAGAGGAATAGTGCTGCACTGTACTGCTACTGTATCATAGCCAACGAGGCAGGCAAGCACATCGTTTTCGTAGTCTGAATAATCCTTGAGGAGTGACAGGAATAGGTTTGCTAGGAGGTCAGCCAGGGTAGATAATGCTTGACTCTGATGCAACTATTACGAGGTGTGAATAATCTGAATGTCTGCAAAAGGAAACTTTGCCTATTTGTTTTTGGAGACTTTGTTGGAAGAGGAGGGTATTGTCAGAGTAAGGGACTGCAGGTGGAATTACAAAAAAATTATCCCATTTGACTAGGCTTAAATGAGTACTCAAAAGGTTTATAGAGGTGAAAGCAGTAGAAGGACGAGGGTGGGAAGAAGAGGGAGTGGTGTGAAGTGAGGTAGTACTAGAGGGAGGATGATAATAGGGATGTAGAGTAGTAACAAGGCTGGAGTGACAGACAATGAAGAAACCTGTGCAGAAGGAAAAGATGGAGTGGAGGATGTTCAGTGAGAGGAAGGGATTTATTCAGTGAGAGGAAGGGATTCTAGACTTCTGTGGATGATTCAGAATGAATAAAATTGACAGCAAGCATCAAAGAGGGGGTAATGGTTGGATCTGTGATCAAGAAGGAGGAGGAGGACGAGGAGGAGGAAAAAAAGTTTATGCAAATTATTTGAGCTGAGGACTGTGGCTCAAAATAGGAGTAATCACTAACATTGGGCCTTTCCTCATCTTATATGCTCCCCATTATAACAATGGGCATGGGATTGGGGGTGAGTAACACTGTTGTATGTTACTTTTTAAATATTTTCATATTCATTTTTCCACTGGTAACATTAGGTAGGAATATGTTCCTGTGTGAGGACATAATGTCCTCCCGGCAAGGGGCACTTGCCCAGGCAAAGGTGATGGCTGTTACCTTCACACTTGTGAACACATGAAAATCCTGTAGTAACTCACGGAACATGTCAGTATCTAAGTCCAAGTGCTTTATGCACTCTTATCTTCCCATCATTTACCCCACAGTCAATTTTTTTCATGGTAAGACATCCATGTTCCCCAAGTAAAATGGGTTAAAGAAATGGAAAATAATCAAAATCTGAAAATTTTAAAATTACTTTATTGAGAAGATAGCATCATCTGATGAAAATAACAATATATTAGGACAGAAAATTATTATGAATATCATAATCAACTGATACATCATGTCTGAGAGCTGATAAAGAAGAAAAATATTCAATAGGGAGAGAATAAGTTCAAGGGCAGAAGTAGTATAATAATCAAATATCAAATATTAACCATTAAACAATTAATCAAACATTGGCAATACAATCCTGATTCAGATAATAACCATAATAATCTGCAAAATCTTTGTCTGCAACACACACTAACTGAGAAAGAGAAAAAGACTAAGAAGAGTACTTCTATCTGTGTATCAAACACTTTTCAATTTGTATTTTCTTGTCAAGTATACAATTCTTGGTAAAAAGATTATGTGCTCCAAAAACAACCAAAGTCTACAAATGTTTCCAAATATATATATATTCAAACAGAGACTAATAGTAATAGTAATAATAAATAGCATCAAAAACAACAGTAGTATCAATATTTCATGACCAAATTTGTCACTTGAAAATGTGCACACACACACAAACACACACGCACAAATGCACAACTAAATTGTGAGCTGAAAAACATTGAATTTACATCTGGAAGAACAAATGGTTGTGGGTATTTTAAAGCGAGCAAAGAACACATGAAGTTAAAGGAAGAGTCATACAAGCTGCATTTAATTATGTTCTGGTTTTATGTGTGCTTGGGGGTCTGTCTACTTGTGTTCTTGTTTGTTTGTTTATCTATTTACATGTATGCTTGTATTCTTATCTCCTTATATTCGTGTATTTGTTTGTTTGTTTGTTTTATGCTGGAAAGGCCTCAAAGACAGGGATACATAGAGAGACTATATGAAAAAAAAATATATCTGTATTTTACTTTCACCTGAAAAAATCCCCTAACCTCTTTCAGTATATGATTATTCTATTATATATGTTATGGAATGTTCACAAATACAAAGGCAATTCTAAACAAGACTATATTAAATGCAGTATACAAATTTTTTCTTTGTTCATATCGTACTTTCACACATACATCCTCACACTTATGCATGCCATAATTTATGTCTCCATGTCACCAAAGAAAAAATATAATCATAAAAATAACTATTTTAAAATCTCAAAATTACTTTTAAAAGTGGATAATGACTATTATGCATCCCTTCTAGGCCAGCAAAGGGCTTCCCACCAAAATAGAGAGAGATAAAGAATGATTTTCATATATATATATTAATGCCTATATACAATACAACAATGCCGTGGAAAAGAGAGCCCAAGTTACACACTTCATAACAAGCACTGAGAGGACACAAAAAGGAAAGAGGAAAAGGGGCGATATAAGGAAAAGAAAAGGAAAATGGTAACATGAAAAGCAGGAAGGATAAATTACGCATGTGAAAATGATGAGAATTGTCCCACTGTTATTCTCCACAGAAAACATTTTCAAAATACAGCTCCCATAAACAGAGTTTGCAACAAACTGGAATGAAAAAGCAGCCTCTGGTTTGATCTGGTCAAATTATACTGCACTCAGGCAGAGAGAGACGTCCCCTTCTTTGACTCCCACCCAATGACCATTCTCTTGAATTCTCACATCATTCATGCTGCCCACATATATATAGAGAAAAAAAGGGGAGGGGGGAGAACTCTCATTTGAGGATAAGTTACTTGCACTCAAAAAGAAAAAGAAAAAAAAAAAAAAAAAAAAAAAAAGATCACACCCACACACAATCTAACACACAAAAATGAAAAAGAACCAGGGGGGGTCTATAACAATCCTAACACTACATACACCTCTCCAGCTAGCATAAGACCTCAAATAAAAACCACATGGACCCTCAGACATTTGTGTGCGACAAGATCAGCCATGATATCACAAAGTAGAAGAGCAGGATGGGGTAAACTGCCAGGGCTTTCCTCGTGCTGGGCTGGCTGTCACCAAGGAATACCATTGCCGCTGGGTGAGCAAGGGATAAAAAAAGGATTAGGAATAATATGTAATTCTTTTTGGAAATATCACCAATAAGAAAATTTTATAATAAATCTTTCATAATCTTCATCAATATTATCACCACCATTACCACAAATATTTTCATTATGAATTACTCATAAAAATAACTGTAATAACTATCTAATAATTCTCTTTAAACTGACTACTATTGTTGATGTATTCTCCATTATGAAAAAAGTTTAGTTAAACAGGATGCACAACAGTTAAATAATACAACAAAACCAAGAGAAGGAAAAAGAAGTAGAAAAAGATGAAGAAGGATGAGTCAGACAAGGAGATAGAGGTGTAGATGAGGGGGAGGGGGAGCAGGAGGAGGAGGAGGAGGAGGAGGAGGAGGAGGAGGAGGAGGAGGAGGAAGAAGAGATGAGGGGAGGAAAAGGAGGAGGAGGAGGAGGAAAAAGAGGTGAGGGAGGAGGGAAAGGGGTAGGGATGAGGAGGAAGAGGAGGTGAGGGGATGAGGTTGGGGGGGAGGGAGGGGAGGAGGAGGAAGAAGAGGAAATATTGGAGGAGAAAAAAAAGGAGGAAGAGGAGGAGGAGGCTGGGAAAGTGTAGTAGTAGTAGTAGTAGTAGTAGTAGTAGTAGTATAGTAGTAGTAGTAGTAGTAGTAGTAGTAGTAGTAGTAGTAGTAGTAGTAGTAGTAGTAGTAGTAGTAGTAGTATAGTAGTAGTAGTAGTAGTAGTAGTAGTAGTAGTAGTAGTAGTAGTAGTAGTAGTACTAGTAGTAGTAGTAGTACTAGTAGTAGTAGTAGTAGTAGTAGTAGTAGTAGTAGTTGTACTAGTGGTAGTACTAGTAGTTGTACTAGTGGTAGTACTAGTAGTAGTACTAGTAGTAGTAGCGGTGGCTGCAGCAGCAGCAGCAGCAGTAAGGAGAGAGAGGGGGAGGGGTACATGCCATGCCATGACTTTAGTTTATTAACCCCTTGGATCCAGGTGCTTCATTGTCCACAGTTTACCCAAAATCCAAGGATTAGGCTTCCTTGAGTGGCCACCCTCATGGATGTGTGGCCTGGAGGACAGGTACATATGAACACTCATGTGCAGTGTCAAGACTCTTTGCTTCCCTATTTATTATTTGATATGCTGTACATTCCACACTCATTTGCCAATCGATATGATGCAAGAGCCCATTCCTAAATGCCCACAGAGTCTAATCACCCTCCAAGAGCTTTATTCACTAGGTATCTGTCACCCCAACCTTCAGCCAAAATTCTCATGATGGCATGTTCCCATCACCCCAGTCCTCAGACAAAATTTTCATGGCCCCATATTTGTGTCACCAGGTCCTCAAGCCAATTTTTTTCATGATGTGATGGTCATGTCCACTAGATTGTAGGGGTTAATTGTCTTTACACATGGATAGCTCTGCAGGTACTTAGGCACCAAGGAGGAGGAGATGAAGGAAAAGAAAAGTAGAAAAAGATGAAGGAGGAACAGGAGTAAGAAGTGGAGGAGAAAGTGCAGATGCAGGGGGGGAGGGGGAAGGGAGGGAGGAGGAGGAGGACATACTACTTATAACACCATATTTACCATTTTCTTTGATTTTTGGAAAAAATTATTATAATACTGATATTGATAACATTATCAAAAAAAGAAAAAGAAAGATGTATAGACATATTTGACAAAACAATACTACAATGAACACTACATTTTGTCAGCAGCATTGGGTTGAAACCAGCATATATGACTGGAGTTTAAATCACAAGTGGATGTTCTATTTCTTTATACTTGCCCTCATTTCAAAACTAGGAGGAGGAGGAGGAGGAGAGGAGGAATAGGAGGAGGGGAGGAATAGGAGGAGGAGGAGGAGGAGGAGGAGGAGAGGAAGGAGGAGGAGGAGGAGAGGAGGAGGAGGAGGTGGAGGAGGAGGAGGAGGAGGAGGAGGAGGAGGAGGAGGAGGAGGAGGAGGAGGAGGAGGAGGAGGAGGAGGAGGAGGAAGAGGAAGAGGAGGAGGAGCAGAAGAGGAGGAGGAGCAGGAGAGGAGAAGGAGAGTAGGACAAGGAGGAGAACAAGAACATGGTAAACAAGAATAAGGAAAAGAAGAAGGAAAAGAAGGAGAGATTGAGATAAAGGGAAGAGACAAAAAAGGGAAAAAAGTAAAATCACTACACATGTAGAAATATATGTATCCAGAAAATAAGGAAAACAATGACAAGAAAATGAAGCAACAAACTCAGTATAAACAATTTATACAAGAAACAATAGACAAGTCTTTCACAGTACATTATAACTAAAAGGTAAAAAAGCAATGACACACACAACAAAACAACAAAAGGACTTACCAAAGGTTGCCCAGACAAAGCCGATGACTGTGACGATGAATCTGAGGATGAAGAGGAGCTTGTTCTGCGTGGCGATGAGAATGAGGCGACATAGGATGAGGGAACCGCAGCATGGCAAGAGGCAGTAGCCCAGGACACACACAGACTGGAAGAAGGATCTGGAAGGAAGGGAGTCATTTCAGTAACCCTAAAGGAGGAACAGGTGAAAAAGAAGAAATAAATGAAGTGAAGAAGGGAAAAGAGAAAGAAGAGGAGAGTGGCTGCTGAGGTTTTTCTTGATGATGATGATGATGATGATGATGATGATGATGATGAAGTGAAGGAGGTGGAGGAGGAGGAGGAGGAGGAAGAGGAGAAAGAAGTAAAAAATTTGACTTGAAGGGCAGATAATGTCATCATGATGTCATGGAAAAAACTGGCAGAGGCTGGGGTGACAGGAACTTGCTGTCATGAAAATTTTCACTAAAGGCCGGGGCGATGGGAATGACTCACCACTGGAAGAGCACTTGCTCAAAGGAGGATGCTATTTCTATGCTAAGGATCCTATTTCTGCCCACTGACCAGCAGTGCAGGTTGTATTATAGAAAAAAGAAGAAGAAAAGGAAGAAGAAGAAGAAGAAGAAAAAGAAAAGAAGAAGAAGAAGAAAAAAAAAACGCAAATGACATAATGTTTCTTTTGCTATCATTATTGCACTGAGTTATGGACTACCTACAAAGATGACATAGAGACTGTGCAAGGAAAAGTCTATTACCATCTGGGAACAGCATCTCAAATAACCAAAAAGCTATAAATGCTTGTGCAGAAAAAGGAAAAATAACTTTGCAAAGGGGAGGCATGAAGTTTTTTCACTACATGAGTGTTCAAGTGCGCCTAGCCTACAAGCCGCACACCTGTCAGAGTGGTTGCTCAAGTAAACTTGATGCCCAGATTTTAGGCCATGTGTGGGTAGAGCGGCATCCAGATACAAGGGGTTAACAGATAAGTAATGAATACTTAAGTCATTGTAATAAGTCAATAATCAAACAAATAATATGCAGATATATGTAATGAATATGTAATGAGTTGATTTTTAATATAAAGGATAACTAATAAACAAATAACAATAACAAATATAAAGTATAAATGCTTCAGTGACAAACTTTTGCCTTTAAGGGGACCGTCCCAGAAAATGGCCACCTTTCCCTACTCTTTACATCATAAAAAAATATCGGTTAGAGATAATTGATTGATTCTTTTTGCATGATATAGGAGTAAAGAATTGCGCTCCGTTATATATATAAATTTTAACTTTGCTCCCCCATTGGGGGGGGGCACCCCCCAAAAAGTCGAAAAAATCATAGAGGATAGGGGGGGGGGGTGGTCACTGGGTGTTTATAATTTTCGAGGAGGATGATATGTATGTGAAGGCATGCACTAAAAGTTAAAAAGATTAATCATCATAATTTAGTAGGCCTACATTGACTTTCATATCTAAATAATAAAATACATTAGTTATCCCTCTCATACCATTTTCTTCGATAATTGTCAATATTAACAGATTGCAAAGGAGAACAAGTGTATAGTTTATGATTAGCCATTTGCACCCATTATCTTTACTAAGAAGTGCATAAAATCATGCAGACG